CAATCTCGGGTAATCTCGGGTAATCTCGACGAAGGCAAGAGACAGTGGACGCCCATCTGGACGAGGCGAGAAGAGCAGCTCTACGAAGAGCTACACACACACACACACACACACACACACACACACACACACACACACACGCACACAATCCTCTCTCCCACAGGGCTGCGAAGAGCTTCACACATACACCTCTCTCTCACAAGCGACAGGCACGACACTACGAAGCACGACACGCCAAGGAAGCCGTCGCTCATCCTCCGACCCCACAGAGATTACCCGAGATTACCCGAGATTACCCGAGATTACCCGCCCCACAGGTGGAGGACGCGATCGGCGACGGCGACCCGGCGCAGTTTGCCTTTTGGAGCATCGACCGGCCGGAGCAGGCGGCGCCCAGGAGCGAGGCTGTGAGGCAGTGTTTCAGTACCAACAGCGAATTCGTCCATCAACCATCAGGCGCCGGACGGAGCCCGAGCGTGTGATTCATAGTTTTAATGATTACTGATGAGTGCGTGAATCGAGCCTCAGGCGCCGGACGAGCCCGAGGCTCGCGTGCTGAGGGCACTCGCCGACGAGATTGGTATCTCGGCGCAGCAGCTCGGCTCGCTCTCGCGCCACCGCGCGGCGATCCGCGCACAGCAGGCGGCGCTGCAGCGCTGCCACGCGCTGCTAGCAAGGGCCCGCGCGCAGGTAGTTGAGCCGAGGGTTAGGGATAGGGTTGGGGTTAGAGTTGGGGCTAATTAATCAGGAATAATTACCTACTCAATCAATAATTACTCGCAGGTCCACGAGCACGTCAGCGCCTCCGCCGCGATCATGCTCGAGTTGCGCCAGATCCTGTCGCCGCTCCAGGCCTCGGGGCGGCTCCTCGTCGAGATGCGGCGAGATGCGGCGAGGTGAGCCGAGGGTTGTTGCTCCCACAGGTCGCAAAGTTCCTCGTCTGGGTCGACAGGACCGCCGACTCCCTCCGCCGCACGTCGCCCACGGCCAGGTCCAGGACACGTCCATGACATGTCCGAGACATGTCCGACAGGCGGGCACGTCTCAGGTCGACCGCGGCCGAGTCTAAACCCACTGTCGACGGGTCGTTGGCCGGTGTCAGGCACTCCGACTCCGTCCGTCTGCTCACTCACGCGCGCGAGGGGGGCGGGCGGGGGGGCGGCCGCGGCGGCCGCGGCGAGCGGCACGGGCGGACCACGAGCAGCCACGGCGAGGCTGAGTCGCGCCGTCTCTCTGAGTGATGCACCAATCGGTGAACCAGCCAAGTGACTCGTAGGCAACGGCGTGGCGCAGCTCCCCTCTTCCTCCTCCTACGCCCCCTCCTGCTCCTACGCCCCCCCTTCCGCATCCGCCGTGCTCCCGGCGGCGGCGGCGGCGCCGGCGCAGGATCCGCCCGACGCCGCTCACCGACTAGTCGGTGCTCGTCAAGGAGTCGATACCTGACCTAGGCGCCCGAGCCGCCCGCGCCGTCTCCAGTACGGAGATGTACCATCGTGTCTCATCGGTGTTGTTGTCTTTCTTCTTAGGTGCCCGAGCCGCCCACCGCATCTCGTGATGCGTCGAGCACGGCGTCTACCGCTTCCGCGTGCTCCGCCGCCCTCTCTTCGCCGCTCGAGGCCCACTGCCCACCTCTCCGCCCCCCCTCTACCCTAACCCTAACCCTAACCCTAACCCTAACCACTGCCCACCTCTCCGCCCCCCCTCTACCCTAACCCTAACCCTAACCCTAACCCTAACCACTGCCCACCTCTCCGCCCACCCTCTACCCTAACCCTAACCCTAACCCTAACCCTAACCCTAACCCTAACCCTAACCACTGCCCACCTCTCCGCCCCCCCTCCGCCCAGCACTTTCGGGCCCATCTCGCATCTCGCCCCCACCCCAAGCCGCAGCCCCCGGGCTCGCTTCTCTTCGCCGCACGAGGGCGGGCGAGGCAAGGGGAGGGAAGCCAACACTTCTACACACAGGCGGGCGAGGCGGCCGGGCGCGACGACGACGCGCCGCAGCGTCTCGCCCCCCGCGCCGGGTGCGTGGCAGCGCCGGCGGAGGGGGGAGGCGGCGGCGGCAGCGACGGCGCAGCTCAAGCTGCGTACGAGGGCGGGGCGGCGGCGGCGGCCTACCCAGATGTCGCCGTTAAGCTCGAGGAGAGGTGAAGGGAGTTGAAGCGTTGCCGGGCAAGGCAGGGGAGGAGGAGCGGGGTGGCGGAGCAGGCGAAGGGGGGGGGGGGGGGGTGGCGTTGACTCGCGTACTGCAATCGCATGGTTCTTCGGTGGCCGCGACAGACTAATTTCGCTTGTGAATCAGAGGCAGCTCGGGTGGGCCTTGTTCGGGGAGTATAGCGTCTGAGGGTTGGATGTACCTCGGACACATGGGGACATGGTTTGAACACCTCTGTTGGTGTGTCTGTCGTCAGGTGCGGATACCCGATATACACACGATACAGTGGGCATATTTTGTATCGGCCTGAGCTGTAATCGCTCGTACACGAGAACTTTGGTGTGGAGACACGGCTCTCTATCCTCTAGATCGATAATCGAACGTGTGCTGCGACCTTCCTGCGTCGTGCGTGTGCGCGCGTGAGTCGCGTGCGCAGCGCACGCTCCCTGGGGACAACCAGGCTGGACAGAACAAAATAAAACATTGAACTTCCTGGTTCGTGATCGATGCTCATCTGAAAGTGGACACAAAAAATGTTCGGCCCTAACGTCGAATCTCATCTCGCGATCTCCCGGGGAGTGTTCCTCTCGACGGACCCTGGGTCGTGGGCTATCGCTTATAGACGTGAATAGGGCCAAGATGAGGTTGCATCCTACTACTACTACCGCTTTCCGGAGATAGCCGCCTGCAGCTGCTCCCAGCGAGGCTCGGTCAGCAGTTCCTCCGTGTTGACGCTACATAGCGTCGTGTTGAGCGCGCGGACCTGTTTTCATAGCTGGATATGTGATCGGATGCCTTTAGCCGCTGCAAAGCGTCGTGGGGAGCGTGCGGACCACAACGTCGTGCAGCGGTTCCATGGGGTCTTCCCACCCAGGCAGCAGCGTATTCTCCGCCCGGACGGTCTTTTTGAGCATCACCTGGAGACGCGCAACCGGCAACTCAAGGGGGCACGGCGAGTGCCATCTGAGCGTGCCAGGACACCCAGCGTGCAGGGTGGGCTGAGTCGGGAAGCGGGCGCGAAGCGGAGTGGGGCGGGAGTTGAGAGAGTAGACTCGCGCCTGCGCCCGCTCCTTGTCGAGGCAGCGCATCGGGATTTTCGCGGCCCACTGCGTGTCATATGCGTCCAGCCGTTCCCGCACCAGCTTAGGGGTCGCGCCGCTGTCTAGGAGGCCCGTATTGAAAGCAGAGGCCCGGTAACTGCAGATGGTCGCGCCGCCCTGCTCCGCCCCGCCCGCCGCCGCGCCGCGCCGCCGCCCGATGATTATTAAGTAATAATGAATTAACAAATAATTAATTACCCCACCCGCCGCCGCGCCGCCCCGCCCTGCGCCGCCCGCTGCCTCGCCGCGCCGCCGCCTCGCGCTGCCCGCCGCCGCGCCGCTCCGCCGCCCGAGGATTAATATTTAATAATTATTACCCGATTAATAACGTGTGTGTGTTTGTGTGTGTGTGTCTGTGTGTTTGCCTGATGGCAGGGAAGTCCAAGGCAGCGGCGAGCGGCAGGTGGCGTCGGCGACGTACTCAGGACACGATGGCGAAGCCCACAGCGCAGCATGCGCGGCAGCAGCTCGCCGGCGGCCCGCGTACTCGACCCCTAAATAAACTCAAAGTCCACCACAGCCTCCAGCCACCGCCTCCACCCTCGAGCCGCCACCGCTGCCGCTCTCGACGCCGCCCACCGCGTCAGATTCCAGCGACGCGCGCGGTGAGCCGAGTCGCGGAGCCGCGCCGCACCAGCAGCAGCATCAGCACCATCAGCACCAGCAGCAGCAGCAGCAGCAGCAGCACCAGAGAGAGAATAGCGCCTGCCGCTCTCACGCAGCCCGCAATCCGCCTGCCGTGCGCGATCGACGCTCGCAGACCTCCGCGTAGAGCACCGCGCAGTCTCCTCGATGACCAACGCAGTCCAATCCAGCAGTGCAGGATGATGTACAGCAGTGCAGCATGAGGCGCCCGCAGAAGCGCTCGCAGAGCGGCGCGCAGCACCGCGCACGCCACGCTGCGGATGATCGTGCGAGCGCAGTGCGCGTCGGCGGCGAGCCGCGGCGCCAGCCGTCGCTCGAGAGAGCGGCGCCGCTGCGAGCGCGCAGCAGCCGCCGCGGCAGAGACGAGCCGCGGCGACGGCCGCAACTTATAACTGCCATTGGCGGTTAGAACTCGTGATCGGCGTCGCACTGGCACTAAGAGAAAAACGCTCGTGAGGTAGTCCTGAGCCTCACAGACTCGGTCGCATTGCAAACCACCGCGGCGCCTGCTCGAAAACCGGGCCTACCACCGGCACCGGCGGCGCCTGCTCGAAAACCGGGCCTACCACCGCTCTCTCTGCCTACCACCGCTCGAAAACCACCCTCTCTCTGCCGACCACCGCTGTGATCACTCGTCAATACTGACCCGCTCGTCAAATACACACCGCGCTCTCGTCTCTCGCCACGTTTCGTCGGTCGAGCCAGCTCTCACGCTTTGCCCGTCCGGCCTCGCGGCAACTGCTGTCACAGCCAGTCCCACCGTCGCCGTGGCAGCACACTGGGCAGACCACTGACCGTCATACCTGGCTACTACCCAACTTCTTCCTCTGCCTCATGTGCGGCGTCCACGCGTACCGCCATTACTCCCGTGGCAAGACGGTGCCGGCAGCGGCCGTTCACCACCTTCTGCGAGTTTGCGTGATGGAGCTCCATGAGCGGCACCATCACGGGCACTCGCGCTGGCACAACATCCAAGCGAGCCTGTTGCAGTGAGCATGAAGGTAGAAAGGCGGGTGAGCATGAGACCGGCTGTCTCGAGTGTGTCTGGACAGGAACTGTGTCATTGCGTGCTCTCTCGTGTCACGGGATTCAAGCAAAAAAAGATAACTGACTCTATGACTATGTCTTGTGTCTCCTTTTACCAGGGTGACGGGGTCCCGGGAACCATCAACCAACTTGCAACTAACTACGACAGCGGGAAAGCCGCCTACAGCATAACACACTAGCGCGCGCTCTAACGTACTAACGGGACCTTTGTCCATTACCCTCGACGTCCACGACAGGACAAGTCGCCAAAGAATACTTGTACACGCGCGCGACACCATGCCTTAGGCGGCTCTCACTGGTGTACGAAGCGCGGGTAAGCAGACACTCTCAAGAGGGGCGGCGCGCGGGCGTAGCAACCCGCGCCAACCGTATCTGCGGTGTCTCTCCCGACGTGTAGGTCTGCACGTATTCAACATATCCACAGCCTCCAGTCGAGCATGCTCTGCGGCATCGCCTCTGCAATATCAACGCGACTGCGGGCGATGAGCGGTGTGGGCCTCTCCACGTCCTCAAATATCGCAACGGACGACAAAGGTGGTGCCGCCAGACGCAAAGGTGGCGAGCATGAGCGAGTCGCCCAGCGCCTGCTCTCGGCGGGGCGGCGTGTGGGCCAGACATCTCGGCCACGTATGTCGCTGTTGGCTGTTCATCTCTCGGCTTGCACCGCGGCTTATCTCGGCTAAATCTCACCAGGTTGGAGGCCGGGTCGTACGGTGCTGCCTCGCAAGTAGGGCTGCCGGGGGACGAGGGAGGCGGCGGCGACGGCGAGGCGGACGGAGGCGGCGGCGACGGCGACGCGGACGGAGGCGGCGGCGACGGCGAGGCGGACGGAGGCGGCGGCGACGGCGACGCGGACGGAGGCGGCGGCGACGGCGACGCGGACGGAGGCGGCGGCGACGGCGACGCGGACGGAGGCGGAGGGGTCGGCGCGGCCACGCTGACGACGGTGATCTTCGCGTTCATGCGTGAGTGCGGCCCGCAGAAGTAGGGGAAGTCCCCCGGCGCGGCGAAGGTGTGCGAGAAGCTCGCCTCGTCGACGAGCCTATCGAGGGGGGGGGGGGGGGGGGA